GACGCTGTGTGACTGTGGACATGTCACCTGGCCTCTGGGGGCCGTTCCCTGTCACGGCACGGGATGATAACGGCCACGTGCAGGGCGGCTGTGGATGCCGTGGCTGACACACAGGAAGCTCCCAGAAGGGCTGTGGGTCCCCAGGCGTTGGCCACTGTGGCCTTCCTTCCCTGCAGGCTTCCTTCCAACCCCCGCCCTTGTTGTGTCGCCGGTGGGATCCCGCCTTCCCCATCCCCCCCCTCCCCTCGCAGGATTTCGAAGCCACGATGCGGGGAGTTTCCGGGCGTCGCGACACCGGGCCGCTGGCTGACAGCAGCCCCTCTCCGCCTGTCCCTTGGGCTCGCGCCCGCCGGGTAAGCAGCTGGGGCAGGGAGGGAGGGGCCGGTGGCCGTCATCACGGAGGTCAGAGGCCAGTCCTGGGGCCTTTGCCTGGAAGTGGGAGCCACCTCCCGCAGCTGCTGCGTGTCCCGCACGCCACGCACCCCGAGGCCTTCCCTCTCGACCACAGGCTCCGGACGGGCCCACACCGTGTCTGACCTCTGGCTGTGAGTCCCGGACTCCAGGGCTCCTCGGATGCCAGGAGTCACGGGTGCCTGTCCTGCACGTGTCCTACAAGGCCCGCTGCCACCCACGCGTGGGTTTCGGCAGGGCCCTTTGCACATCCGACCACGTGGGGCGCGACCTCGTGCCGATCCGGGCGGGCTTGTCCCAGCGGAGGGGCCATGGGGGGCGTGTGCGAGGGGACAGCCGCCCCCGGAGCGTACGGGAAGCCTCCAGGTCACACCGCCTTGACCCACCCCCGTGCTCCAGCTGTGTGGCGTCGGGGCGGCCCCCCGGTCTCTCTGTGCCTTGTAGGCTCCTGCGAGGTTGTGCTGAGGGTCCGAGCCGCAGGTCCAGCCGGGGGCATAACTCGCGGCCCCAAAGCAGTCGAGACTTTCGTCACTGTTGTGATCAGCCATGTCGCTGTGGTTTTTATTACTTAGCCTGCTCAGAGCGCCCTTCGGAGCCAGAGGGAGGAAGAGGCGGAGAGTGACTCTGCGGAGGACGCCCCCCTGGAGGGTCTCGGGGGACTGCGGCCAGGACCCCCTAAATAGAAAGACAGCCCCGCGAGAGCTGAAGGACGCGTGGCCGCTTGGGTGGGCTGTGTGCCTCGGGTACCTCATCTGCACCCCAGGGGCCACAGCGCTGGCCCCACGGCTGCTCTGGGGACAAGCTCAGGAAGCGCCCTGGAGCCTCCACGCCTGTCGCGTTTCCCGCCTCCTGGTCTGGGGCCTCCAGGGGCCTCCACGCGTGTCGCCCACGGTCACGGGTCACTGGGGAGTGGGTCTTCGCCACAGGGTTTCTGTTGTCCGCGACTCGGCCCCACGGCCCCTCCCAGCCCGACTCCACCAGGCGGGTCCGGGCTTCAAGAATACCCGAAACGTGCTAGAGTTCTGCAGAATAGCAGCCTAGGAAACGTACAATACACGGTGGTATGTGTTACCTGTGGTGGCCTCTTTTTGAGTCGGGGTCTCACTCTGTCGCCCAGGCTGGAGGGTGTGCTCCAGTCTGGGCGACAGGGTGAGACTCCAACTCAAAAACAAAAAAACTAACCCTTGTCCTAGTGACCTGCTGGGTGCAGTTCTGGTGTAGAATGAAGTTCCTGCTTCCCCATCCAGCCCAACAGAAATCTAGCCTGTGCCATTCCAGTTACAGTCACACCCTTCCCCCAGCCTAGTGTTGAAAAACAAGACTCACTGGTGGTCAGACTTCTCTCTTGTGGCTCTGTGGCGGGTGGGGCTCAGCAGGGCGGGTCTCCCAGGGACCCTCCTGCAGCTGGAGTCTCACTCGGTCGCCCAGACTGGAGCGCACTGGCCACTCCCGGGCCACCGCAGCCTCGACCTGCTGGGCTCCGGCGATCCTTCCGCCTCAGCCTTCCAAGTAGCTGGAACTACAGATGCGTGCTTCCACGCCCAGCTAATTTTTTGATTTATTGTAGAGATGAGGTCTCACCATGTTGCCCAGGCTGGTCTTGAAACTGTGGGCTCAAGCAATCCTCTCACCTCGGCCTCCCAAAGTGCTGGGATGACAGGCTGAGCCCCTGGGCCTGCCCTAAACGGACGTTTTTTAAACCTCAGCTGCAGTCCCAGCCCCACCGACCCTTTCCGCAGGAAGGTGACCGTGACTGTCTCTCTGTGGTCCTGGATGGTTGTTCCGGCACCCAGCGGGTCTCACTACCGGAGGTGACGGGTGAGGGGCCTCCTCGTGCCCTGGCCGCAGCGCACATCAGAGAGCCCTTGTCCCTAACACAGGCTGGACAGCCGGCCCTCGGCCACCCTGTTGTCTCCTCGGGAGATCACTTGAGCAGCGACAACCAAGCTCAGAGCTTCTCTTTTTAGGTCCCAAGAGGTGGGGGTGGGGGTGAGGTGGAGGGATCGCCTGAACCCAGGAGCTTGAGACCAGCCTGGGTGGTCTCAAACCTGGGCAACATAGCGAGATGTCATCTCCGCAACAAAAAAAAAAAATAAAAGAAAAACATAAGCCAGGTGTGGCGACTGGTACGTGCAGTCCCAGCTCCTTGGGAGGCTGAGGTGGGAGGATCGCCAGAGCCCAGGAGGTCGAGGCTGCGCTGAGCTGTGATTATGCCCCTGCACGCCAGCCTGGCCCACAGAGATCCACTTTACAAAGGCAGCCCCCCACTTAGCCAGGCTCGGTGGCTCAGCCTGTAATCCCGCGCCTTGGGAGGCTGAGGTGAGTGGATTCCCTGAACCCGTGGGTTCAAGACCCGCCTGGGCAGGCGAGACCTCCTCTCTACAATAAATCAAAAAATCAGCCAGTCGTGGTAGCGCGCGCCTGTAGTTCCAGCTACTGGGAAGGCGGAGGCGGAAGGATCGCCGGAGCCCAGCGGGTCGAGGCTGC